TGGTGAGGATCTACAAATACCACATATATTGAGAGACTTGAGAGTGTCATACAATGGAATCTCTTAGTTTTATTTTGAATACTTATAAAAACCCCGGAACAATGGTAGAACAAAGAATTTGAGACATAGTGCTTGACTTGATTGTTCTATCTTTCAATTGCTCAAGACCCAAGTGAAGGCTAAGAAGCCCCATGGTTGAAGGTAATATGGGTAAGTTTGAAATTCAGATCAGTTTATTTTAATCCGGAGGAGAATTCTTGATTGAACGCATGTGTACTTTTGAGGCGTGAAAGTATAGTAGCAACTCCTGATCCATTGTTTAAGTTTAGCTTTGCTTATGGACTGGCAAAGGGTAAGCTTGGAGGAGCTTGTTGACGGTCATTGATATCAATTATAAATCATCAATATAACCTACACATATACTTAATTCCATCATTAAACATAGGTCTAGGGGTTTAAACTAACAAATTCCATAAGTTTTAGTGAATCTATGTTTTCAGCAGGGTTTATTCAGAAAACCATCATGGTGGACCCAAACGTCGAACTTAATTGTGCTTAACCATGGCATAAACAACTCCAGAAGACTCCAGAACACTCCAGAAGGCAACCCACCGCAGCAGATCCCGAGTGGCTGCCAGGTGGGGCCGGTCGGCCCCACCACTTGGACGGCCGACCTATGGGCCGCCTGGTCAGCCTCTCCTTCGAATGTCGGTTCTCCACTGTCTCCTAGATTGCATCTACGCTGTCCTTTTAAGTCAGTTTAATTCGAGGGTCTAGAATTAACGCTACCCCCTATATATATGGCCCTGTACCCTCCTCCAAAGAGCCATCCTAAAACCCTAATCCATATCCTCCTCATCAGGATCAGGGCCAGCTAAGGCTGGATAACGAGCTGGCTCGGCTCGGCTCGTTCTTCGTTAAGATAACGAGCTAGCTCGGCTCTGCTCGTTATCCTAACGAGCCAGAAAGCCAGCTCGGCTCGGCTCGTTAAAAGCTCGAGCTGGCTCATTAAGCTCGCGAGCCTCTGTAGTTCACCTCCTGTTTGTAGGTCAAGTAGGACCCGGTTGTGAAGGAAAGCATCCTCTGCTGGTGTCTTTCCTTAAGTAATGTCCCCAGTTGAATAGTAGAAGGCATAGCTTACCAAAGTCAGAACAAAAGAACCTTAGTTATCCTCTCTACGCTCCTGTTTATCCTAACATTGTTGCTACTCTTAGTTAAGTTAGACCGTAGTTAGTCTCACATGTTTCCCTGTGGATACGATACTTGGAATACTTTCGGATGAAAGCTACAGCGGTATCTGTGCGCTTACGAATTTATCTGTATGCGTTAATAAATACCAACAACTACCAGGTGACTGACAACCAAATTCAACAATATTTAAAATCTAATGCTTACTTTCACATAAAACTCAACTGCTCGGTTGGTAACGAGTAAGCAAGTTAGATAATCCTACTAATACATCACATAAGAGGCAACCTTCATTATCTGCTACATGACTTTTTTAGGCATAACTGGGAGTTATGAATGAAATACTAAGAGTAAAATAGATGGAATATTTAAGATGGTGAAAGATATTTGCTGCGAAACCAGTGGCCTGTCCAAATATGCAAAAATACCATCGTCAAGATAAACTTAACAAGCCATTCTCACTTATTCGTAAAGGTCTAGACACAAAAATTCTATACAAAGCCCCCTTTGTTGCTTATTACTGGATACCTGACCAGGTTTATCAAATCGAAGAAGAAAAGTAGTAATTAATAGTGGAATACGCCTACAGGACATAAGCCTAGCCAGAAGAGCAAAGTGTATCCCTCGTTTGGATTTTGGACCAGGAGTAGTATTAGTATAAATTTTATCCAGGGATGCTACAGACAAAGAATAGCATGTTCAGGTTCAGACTCTCAGTTCACAATTGAACCTCACTGATATGTTCCAGTGGAAGCAACTTACAACATGTACTGATTAATCATGCAAAAAGAAGGAACATGGCATTGTTCCACTCCCAAACGCACCTCCACTCGAAACCCTGCCCCTGCCTCGGTCTTCTGCCCATTTCCAAACACTGGCGATCTAACATGTCGTTACGCCGAAAGAGATTCATTTCATCACCAGGCCAAATACAGCAGCAAGCCAACATGCGGGAGGACAGTGGTAGACAAGTGGACGCTTGACATTGGTAACTTGTTCATGATGAACTGCGATCAAAGGGAGAGGAATGTCCACCGAGGAAGAAGGTTCCTCGTCAAGGTCAGTCATGAAAGCTATACCTCGGTAGGGTTCTTGCACGGATCATAGCACAAAAATTAGGAAAGAGAGTAATGCTAAAAATGGAAACGACTAGTTCCCTGTCGGATCGGATGGTTTGCATTTAAAACCCGTGATCGTTTGCTCATTAGGGGTACGTTCTTTTCCATTGGAGAAGGGACTAAAGACTATATTTTAGTCTCAATTAGTCCCTTTAAACCAAATATTAGGGACTAAAACAGGGACTAGGGACTAAAATATAGTAGTTTCTTGGAAGGCTGCTAATTGGGACTAAACAGCCCATATCCATCCTTCTCTCTCCTTCCTCGTAGTCTCTCTCCTCTTCTTTAGTCCCTAAAAATAAACACTATTTTAGTTTCTGTTTTAGTCTCTAGTCTAAGACTAAAGAGAAGAACACGCCCTAACACGTTGCAGCAGCCTTGTAGGGCGCGGGCGATGCCAACGCGGTCGCTGCCCGTGCAGGCGCAAGTGTGCCCGCTGCAGGAGACAGGGAGAAACCGGCGCGGCCACGCGAGAGCGGCTCATGCAGGCACCGCTGTACGTGTAGCCCTGTGAGCGAGGCCGGAATGGCCGCATGGGCGCATCTGTGGCGAGGTGGGCGCGGTAGGGAGGAAGGGGCGGGGGGATGAGGCCCAAGGGGCTGTCCAAAACATGCCGACACGAAAAACACGTGTGTCCTGCCGCGTGCCGATCGACAACCTTGCCGAGTCGTCGACCAGGGCAGGCCCGAAATGAGCTGGCAAGGTGTGAAAAGCTTCGAGCAAACTGATGACCCGCATGGTGCGGCACCCATGCTCTGTGGTGGGTTGTCCTCGTGCCAACGTGGTAATATAAGGCTGTGTTTAGTTGGAGGGAAAGTTAGAATTTGGGTACTGTAGCATTTTCGTTTTTATTTGGTAAATAGTGTTCAATCATGGACTAATTAGACTCAAAACGTTCGTCTCGCGATTTCCAACCAAACTGTGCAATTAGTTTTTTTTTCGTCTACATTTACTGCTCCATGCACATATCGCAAGATTCAATATGACATGTACTGTAGCACTTTTTTGGAAGTATTTTTGGAACTGAACACGCGCTAATATACTGGCGCCGTTTCATCCACGGATCTTAGCAGCTGTTTTTTTTAACTTCATTTGCATATGGTGCGTTCACTCTTGTGACCGGTACAGGGCAGCTGTTTAAAAAAAATAAACTCTATTTTTTCCATACAGTGGGTTCACTCTTGTAGGGCAAGGATAGCCACCGCGTGGGTGAGGACGAGGATCGCGCGGGCGAGGACGGAGACGAGGATGTCGATTGTGGTGGCGTGAGGTTTTTTAAATTTTTATTTGCTTTTCACCGCTGGTTTGCAAATTGTCAGTGATTATATCCATTTTCAATGCCCACTTTTACTGCAACCGACAGTGATGGGGCTTTGAGCTCGTGCGCAATGCACCGATACGACTTATAGAATACTGTAAGCACACACGTGAACCACGGGGTTTTTTATTTTACATTTTACATTTGCTTGGATTCTTTCCTGATTCATGCAGGTCTAGGTTATAATTAATTCGCCGTCAGGAAAAGCCATCGCCATACCTATTATACGTATAAGTATCGTCCCCACTCATGTGTTGCTCGATCGCTCTGTATAAATATCCATAGCAATACGGAGTAGAGTAAGCAGTGCATGCAAGTGCAAGCAGCGAGCCAGCTGCTGATCGACGAACATTATTACCGCAGGTTTGTAATGAATCCACCGGTGAATTTTTTTTTCACTTTGACCTAATGGAGTCGGTAGTGATAATCTTTTTCACGGTCAGGTTGTATCCCGAACCGACAATGAAAACCAGACTAGTTTTCGCTGTCGGTTCAAGACACAATCTGACGATAAAAAACGAAGAAAATATATAAGCAGACACCAAACCTATCCTTCTCTCTCTTGGTCACTGGCACTCCCTCCCGGCCACCACTCTCTCTTCCTCTCGGGCCCCTCTCCCTCCCTCCCGACCCATCTCTCACCGATGTCGGCATGCATCGCGACAATCGGCCAGATGACGGGAGCCCACTCCCTGCCCCCTCTTCTAGTGCATCTAGGGGGGGGGGGGACCTCCCCTCTCCCGGTGTGGTGGCGTCAAGGACTCGCTGCCCTTCTTCATGCGACAGACCTGGGCAACTAGGACAAGGATAGCCACCGTGTGGGCTAGGACGAGGATGAGGATGGCGCAGACGAGGATTTGTGGAAATTGTCATACAGTGTGTTCACTCTTGTAGGGCAAGGATAGCCACCGCGCGGGTGAAGACGAGGACGAGGATCGCGCGGGCGAGGACGGGGACGAGGATGTCAATTGTGGCGGCGCGAAGTTTTTAAAATTTTTTATTTTCTTTTCACCGCTGATTTGCAAATTGTCAGTGATTATATCGATTTTCACTGTCCACTTTCACCATAGTCCACAGCCGAGCAAAATCGACAGTGATGGGGTTTGAGACCTGACAGTAATGATATATCTATAATAGTGAAACTAAACCTAAAGGAACGACTCAACTATAAATGAGGGATGGGCTCCTCTCCTTCTTTCCCTCTGGCGGTTTCATTGGAGATAAAGGAGAGGCCTCTAGGCAACGACTACAAGTTGCCCTGATAGCAGCGATAGCTTGGAGCTCTTATTAGTGAGGTTTCTCGATGGTTTGGAGACGGTGCTGAGAAGACCTCTTTGCACCAGAGGAGAGAAAACACGCGCGGGGATCCGAATATAATGCCTGGATATAATGCCAGGGAGGCGTTCCAGTGGGCGATCGGCGTCCCGGACGTGGTCACCGCCAGTGGAGAGGTCGCTCGTTCCCTCAACGACATCGCTTCGTACAAGAAGGGGAAGAACAAGAAGGATGTGGCAAGCTCCGTGGAATGCTACGCCAAGGAGCATGGCACGTCAGGGGAGGAGGCGGTGACCGCGATCGCGGGGATGGCGAAGCACGCGTGGAGGACGATTAACCGGTCGTGCATGGTGATGGATAGCGCGATGTTGCCGGCCGCGCAGCTGGCGGTGAACCTGACCAAGACGCTGGAGGTCATATACCTTGGCGGCAGAGATGCCTACACCTTTGCTGCCGACCTCAAGGATCTCGTCGTCTCCCTCTTTCTCAACGGCCCTACTGTTTGAACTTTTTTTTGTTATTGTATCGATCTTGCACTATGTTGTTTTAGTTATTAGGCTAGTTCCAATGAGAGTTTTCTTCCTATTTAATGAGGCGACACATCAGTAAAAATGATGATGTTACGTAGAAATTACGAGGAAAGAGAGGAGATGAGTTTCATTTGGATGAAACCCAGCGTGTACTGTGTTACTAAAACACTTAAAACTGAATAAAACTTCAATGGGTGTACTGTTACCAAAACACTCAAAACTCTAGGTAGCTCCAACAGTATTAAAAAGATCTATAGCTTGTAGAATATTTTATCAATAAAAAGCAGAGAGAATGATAAGCTAGCTCTTCATAAAGAGTTAAGCTCACATACTTTCCTATGATCCATGTGTCTATATTTACACATTTTTCTATATTAGCATGTTAGCTTACTCTATTTTTGTTTTTTAAGTTCATATGAGCTAGCAAATTGACTATATTGTTGAGGATGCCATCATGTCCCCTTTGGCACCTGTATCACCGCTGATGTCAGGAGGGCTTTACATGGGATCAGAACTAATTGCAAAAGATAAAACACACGCCTTGCAGCTGATGCCAATTTATTAAAGCTTGATGTATTTCTATAATTGATAATAACTCTCACATACAGAATATATCTTCAAATTTATTTGAGTAATTGTTTTACTTGAAATGAGATCTACAAAACAAGACCCATTTTAATATATTTTTGAAATGTTTTTATTTGACCATCAACTTGTGTTGAATGTATAACCTATGGACAAACCATGCTTGTAGCAACTTGTAGTCATTTACAAATCATGACTTGTTAAAGGACCGAGAAAGACGACCAGAGGAGGGATGGAGTGGGGGGGGGGGTGTTGGTTTGAATGAGAGCCAATCAAAATTTCTTCCGAAATGGCCGTTGTCCCAAACAACACTCCAAAACATGAAATCACACAAGAGTTATGCGCTCGAGCCAACTGGTGTTTGAATGTTCTCGGTGATGACCAGAGAATACAGTGGGACACTCACGTCAGCGGAAAACCAAGCGCAACACCAAAACTCCCCGAAACCCGAAAGTGAAGCTCTCAACTTCAACCAAAATGAAGAAAGTGCGCAAACCAAAATCACCTAAACCATCTAGTGGTTTGATGACTTGGAAAAACTTTCTGGGCACCTTAGAAACCCCACGGAAGAGATGGATCGGAGAAACGAGACCAGAAGCTCAAAATACACTGAAAACATGAACCACAGTGGAAAACCCGGCTAGGTCGGTTATGTAACACGGCTAGGCCGCCTCTACAACACGAACTGGCCGGCTTTGCCTGCCAACAGCCCGAAATCTTCCTCCCAAAAGTGGAAATCGACCCAAATCAAGTTTGATTGACTCCAAATTTGGTACAGAGGTAGAAGAAGATGTCACGAAGATATTCCTAGAAGATCAAGCCCAAAAGATCAAGGGAACTCTGAGGATCTAGAAATCCATGAACCGAGCTAGGGTTTTCTCAACTTTGCTAAAAAATCCCACCAAATTGTGCTCGTGAGGAATCTGACCAAATGGGTTGGTATATATGTTCTCTAGCCATCCAATCGGTCTCAAATCTCCAGAAAAACGAAAATCACCCAAAACGCAAGAGAAGGGAGTTCGGGAGAGGAAAAACCTAAACGATTCGAGAACACAAAGCAAGAACTCAGATATAAGAGGAATGGTAGCTTTATTCCACCACCAACAAGATCTAGTTCTTACATAAGAAAGATTAACACATCAGAGGTCTGATTCTCTGCACTGTGGATCTCTACCAGTACAGGCTTAGACTTAAACAGGGAAACTATAAGCCTTAAGCTCTCAAAACTCGACAGTGGTAATTTCATATCACTGTTGGGTCATGCCATGAACCGATAATGATAACCTTAGCCGATAGTGATATCACACTTATTATTTCTGGTTTGTGTCTTGATTCGATAGTGATAGCCTTCACTACTGGGTGCCGGGTGAATAACTTCTCCGGAATTTTCTGAATCATATGGGCTTATGAACCAACGGTAAAAGGCAACATACCCGATAGTGATGGTCTGGCAACCTGTTTGGTGTAGTGCTTAATGATCACGTTTAACACATGAGGTGTTATAGTACAGGTATAAGAGAGAGTGAAGGACAACGAATACATTCTGATTTGTACTTTAATAATTGGATATAAATATAGTTATATATATTTATAAACGATAATGTTGTGGCTAGGAAGTCTGTTTCGTCCGGATGCGCGTTGGTGGGCCTCGACGCTAGAACGGCCCAACAGGCAACACTGCCATCCGCACGGAAATAAAAATAAAAAATCACCGCTCGCACCTTCTTCTCGAATTGCCGTTGTTTCTCCATCCATTCTCGAACCAAGTCTCCGTGCCCGCATCACCGTGGCTTGCTCCACCGCGACCACGCTACCGCCGCCTGCTTTCCTGTCTCCCCACTGCCACTGATCATCACTTGCCGCCGAGTTCTACGAGCTGACACGGCGTGGTCCACAGTGACTGCTTGACTGCTCCAGCGTGGCGTTGTTCACCACACCCAGCCGCTTGCCTGCCGCCATCCTCCCTCTCCACTGCACCCGAACGCCATTTACTGGCTACCGCTGTTCCCCACCACGTTGGCCATAGCTACCGGCGGCGCCATGTGTTTGTTTCAACTGTGTTTCAGAAGTTATTTTCGAGTGTTTCATCTGTATGTTACAATGGCTACATACGTATGTTGCAAGTATATGTTTCAAACATTTCAATTGTTTGAGACGTATGTTTCATGCGTTTCATCTGTATATTTAATGTGTTTCATCTGTATGTTTCATGTGTTTCATTTGATGTTGCTAAAGGATCTAATGTTGCATATGTTGCAATAGCTACACACGTATGTTTCAAGTGTATGTCCCACATGTTTCATATATTTTAGATGTATGTTGCAAATGTATGTTCCAAATGTTTCAAACGCATGTCTCATGTGTTTCGTCAAGATGTTGCAATGATTATACAAGTATGTTTCAATAGTAAACTGCATATGTTGCAACGGTCGGACGGATGTTGCAAAGGAGATGAGACATTAGGACTAGGGAAGGGGAACGGCCGAGGCAGAGCGCGGTGGAGGACGGGGGCACGGCGGCGATGGCGCCGCATCGAGGGGAGGAGCGTGGTGTGGCGGGGGAAGGAGCGCGGCGGGCTTGACGCCGGGGGCGCAACCGGGATGGGGATCGTGTTACGGACGGCGGGGGTGCAACCGGGATAGGGATCAAGTCACGGATGGTCGAACGCGGTCACTGGCGTGGGATCGGTCGTGGGGTGGCCGGATGCGATTTCGTCGTTGGCAGGGTATCTGATGCAAGCGCAGGGGTGTGTCCGATGCGAGGCGGTTGTAGGCGTCCGAACGCGGGCCTGGGCCGAACGTCTGGGCGTTAGGCCTTCCCATTTATAAATGGCCACGGTGCAAAATCAAAATGCAAGACAACCAAATACTACTGGAAGGTATAAGGCTATGCTAAATTGGATATCCATTAATGCTAGACCCTTATGCAGGCTATCACAACCAACGAGACTTACAGATTTTTAGGAGCACAAAAACATACAGTCGAGTAGTCGACATCATACTTCCAGAGCAGATGCAGATTGCAGCGTGCAGACAAGCGTGCATGTGAGTGGCTGAGTCATGGACATGGCCCATCGTACAAGTGAGCAGGGAGCTTGGGCTCAGGTACGGCCTCAAGCGGGACCATTCGCGGCATGGACAGCCCGAATTTCTCCTCCATGCTCAGGTCGTCCACACCCACGCCGTCGGGGAGCCTCCATGCAAAGGCTTGAAGAAGGTTTGCTAGCATCAGCTGCACCATCTTCATCCCGAGGCCGAGGCCCGGGCACATCCGGCGGCCGGACCCAAACGGCAGGAACTCCAAGTCGTGGCCCTTCACGTCCACTCCGCTCCCGACGAAGCGCTCCGGCCGGAACTCCTCCGAGGCGTCCCCCCACAGAGCAGGGTCGCGGGCAATGGCCCAGACGTTAACGAACACGCGGGTGCCGGCCGGGATATCGTAGGCGCCCACGGAGGTGTCCTCGCGGGACAGCCGGGGCGCGAGCAGCGGCGCGACCGGGTGCACGCAAGGTTTTCATTTTCGGAAATTAAAATTTATCGGGGGTCACAGATAAAGAGGATAAACAGGATATATCGGAAATATCGGACCAAATTCAAATAAGATTTGATTTGAATTTAAGTAAATTTAAATAAATTTAAACAAAATTTATACGAAAAAGATATATATTTTTTATCGGCACCTATGGATAAAAAAGATATATCGAAAATATCAGGAGATTTCGGCCGATAAAGGAAACCATGGGTGCACGCGCAAGGTCTCCTTCACCACAGCATCCAGGTACGGGAGGCACGGGATGTCCTCCTCCGTGACCAGCCTGCCACCGCCGACGACACGGTCCAGCTCGCCCGTGGCCTTGGCCATGGCCTCGGGATTCCTTAGAAGCTCCGAGAGAGCCCACTCGGTGGCGACCGCTGAGGTATCCGCGCCAGCGGCGATGATGTCCTGCCGGCATTCACGCGCGTCGATCGATCATCTCTCTGTAGCAGCCGGTCCACCATGTCCCTCGGCACAAAGCCCTCGCCCTGTCGCCGTCGCCGCTCACTGTGCTCGACCAGGACGTGCTCGGGCAACGGGTCGATCATTTTGCTCAGTCTCTTCATCCTCTTGATGTACCCCTGCAGGTCCAGAAAGCTGAGCCACGGGATCACGTCCCCGACGTTCACCACGCCGTTGAGGAAGAAGAACTCCTGGATCATCCACCGGAACGCCTCCGGCGGCATCAGCGAGCCGGCGCCGTCGAAGATGTACTTCCTGCCTAGCGCCATGCGCGAGACCACGTTGAACCTCGCCATGGAGAGGTGGTCCTTGAGCCGCACCACCGCGCCTCCGTCGCGGGACGCGGCCGCCGACACATCCCGCAGCATGCAGCGCACCTCCTCGATGCGGATATGCTCTGTCGATTTGATCCGGCTCGCGCTGAGGAGCTCGTTCTGGTACAGCTTGCGCCCCTGGCGCCAGTACGGACCGTACGGCGCCCACAGCACGTCGGAACCGTTGTAGAGGATGTGCCTAGCCGAGGCCACGGCGGGGCGGTCGAGGAACGCCAGGTCGTGGGTCTTGAGGAAGAATTTCGCCATGTCGACGGATGAGCCGACGACGACGGGGTAGGAGCCGAACCGCAGCGACATGAGTGGCCCGTACCGCGTGGAGAGCTCGTGCATTGAGCGGTGCGGGAGTGGCCCGATCAGGTTCAGGTTGCCGATCACCGGCCATGGCCGAGGGCCCGGCGGCAGCATGTACTTGCTGGAGCTGGACCGCCGCCGGCGAAGGAGCACGGCTACAAGGAACAGCGCCACGCCGATGAGAGAACTCCATGGTACTGGTAGCTCCATAAGAATGTGGTGGACGTGTTTTTGTTTCTACTATATATGCATTGGAGTGCGGTGGTTTAAGTTGTACTCTGCTTTGTCGCAAAAGAAGTGTCGCTCAAACTTTTCTTAAGTTTAACTATATTTATAAAAAAATATTAATAACATTTACATCGTCAAATAAGTTTATAAAAATAGATTCTACGATCTATCTATACTAATTATGTACTATAAATATTAATGTTTTTTTTGTATATATTTGATAAAGTTAAAATTGTTTGACTCTTCGACAAGAGAGAATGATACTTATTTTGGGACGGAGAAAATATACATACACACAAAATGGGGGCCCTAGTCGAGCTACAGCAATAACTATTTTATGACAGTGACGGGGCCATTTCATACACCACAAATGAACATCACGACAATGTCTTGCCACAACAAAAACGTGATGAGACTCATCACATTTGGCCTAAGGGTACCTGTAGGACCGAATATCACGTAGATCATACAAAATTTTGAGGCAGACATGCTACTTGTACATGAAAAGACATTTGCTTTGTCTTCACCGTGATGTCTAGCCGTTGTTGTTGGGCTCGGCCTCCACTTGAGGGTGAACGCAGGGGCAGCGCGGCAGCAACAAGGACGGTGCATGTTCCATGCGCTACGGCACAGCACATGGTGCCCCTTCGCGCGGCCTGTGCGCGAGGCAGCAGCGGCACGGCTCCTCCTCTATAACGCGCGCCAGAGCACGGATGCGAGGGAGCACGCTGCAGCCGAACACATGGGCGTCGCGTGGCTCTGCTGGCTGCGTGCCTGTGCGTGAGACGACACGACACGGATGTGAACAGCGACACATTGTCGGCAACTTCAAAAGATCTAAATCCTATTGACTTCCACCAATAAATATTTCACGCGATAGCTCTTACTCCATACCAAGCCATGGAACAAAATATTAGGGTATTATGTAATTATTTTGCACAAAACAAATCGCCACAAACAGCGCTTTTAAGTATAATTTCAGATTTTTACCGTTGACGTGAGAAGTTGGTTTTTAAATTTTAAATTCGATTTTTGAGCCTGCAAAAACCCTAGTTAACAATATTCGTTCTCCAAAACCAAAGTTAAAATCGTTTGACTCTTCGACAAGAGAGAATGATACTTATTTTGGGACGGAGGAAACATACACACACACAATGGGGGCGCTAGTCGAGCTACAGCAATAACTATTTTATGACAGTGACGGGGTCATTTCATACACCACAAATGAACATCACGACAATGTCTTGCCACAACAAAAACGTGATGAGACTCTCATCACATTTGGCCTAAGGGTACCTGTAGGACCGAATATCATGTAGATCATACAAAATTTTGAGCCAGACATACTACTTGTACATGAAAAGACATTTGCTTTGTCTTCGTCGTGATGTCTAGCCGTTGTTGTTGGGTAGTATAATTCTTGATGTATGGTTTATATTTTTTCTCCGCTTCTATAATCTGTTTAGATCCAATGCTCTAAAATTTAGTTGACTAAAGTTAAGAATTAAAATTTTAGACCACTTTAGTTCACTTTGTAGTCTAAATTTTTTTGTGAGATTAATTAAACTTTAGACAACACTTTAGCTTCAAGAGCTAAAGTAAGTGGTCTAAAGTTTAGTGGCTAAACTTTGGACCTTGGCATCCAAACAACACCTATATCTGAGGTGCCTTCCTTTTTTTATTTTTATTTAAGTAATCGATAATTTTGTTATTATTTGACTATAGATAAAAAACACTTACACTATAAAAAAAAATACCCTTATACATGACGGTTTACTTTGGTCACAGACAAGAGAAGACAAGAGAAAATGTGTCACAGTTAACTCACCATGACGATCGAAAAAAGGTCATGTATCCCGCGTCATACATTTGTTGGCCCAAATTGAGCCGTCATGGATTGGAATTTGTGTTCGTCATAGAATAGTTGTCTGCATCTTATAACCAGCCCATATCCAAGTCTAGATCCAAACCATAGTGACGAAAAAAAACATCACAAACTAGTGCTAAATCATCACTGCATTAACATGCATCACAACTCATAAGATACACCAAACATTGATTCATTCATGTATTAGCATGTCCCCAACAGTCACATCGGCCTAGCTCACAACCATTTAGTTTGACTATCACAACAACTAAGTTTGAACTTAAAGATTTTATCTCTAGGGAATCTAAAATAACTAAACTTTAGTATCCACCAGCATTCAATTGGCTTGCTGTCCATAAGATGTACTTCTTGAAAATCAAATGAATATAAGATAAGTCAGTGTTGCTAGCAAAGATTCTAAAAAAATGTCATCTATTTATTACGAAGCTTTGAAACTAGTTAACTAGTTCAATGCATATATTTTTGAGAGGCCAACAAGCAGAGCATGAGAATCTAAATATGATAGAAACAGCTTGTAGATTAAATTTGATATATACACTTATACAGTAATGGACTGAGGTGTTGGCTGACTTGCATCTATGTCTGTTGGTGGCAGCGGCATCATCCCTTGCTAGATTGGAAAGCTAATGTATAAACAGAGAGAAAATTATTTGACTATCCAGTACTTATACATACACTTGAAAAATTGTTATATTTAGAATACTACGGTAGAGATGAAGAGTAAATGACTGAATTTTCTATACCTTCAGACAAGATAGACTCGGCGTGGCAATGGCAACCAATCTTCATATTTGCACTAATCTTCATAAACATGTTAATCAACCTTGCTCCTATTGGCCTTGCTATAGGACCTAATAACATAAAACTTGGAATGAATGGAGTAGATAAGAAGCACTTACTTGAACTATGTGTACCTACGTACAAATAACAGAAGATGGATAAGAAGATTGGATACTACATCTCCAAATAAATAAATGGCACGCAGCAACACTATTGATTAGATGTGCTTCTCACTGTCAATGGTAAGCAAAGGAAAAGGGTAGAACATATAATTGAGATAATTATCACGCACATGTGCAAAATCATCTAGTAAATTTTAATATTGCAGGTACACTATTAACTACCTCCATCAACTAGTAAATTATAGTATAAATACCTGTGTTTATTTGTCATTCCTCAGTCTCTGGATCTTCTTGTTAGCCTTAACCCATTTACTTATCTGTAACATAAAACACAATGGCAAGTGAGTGCAATTCATAACTTTATTTGTACTATAACGTTAATTGTTTACAGAACAGTGCAATTGACAACTTGCTCATACATGTAGGCCACAGACAATTTGAAGATGCCCTCGTATCATTCAAAGACTTGTTATACATACTGCATCCTGTACTATCAAAAATCCAAAGTAGCCGAGCTTCATTACATAACAATGCATCAGTTATCATCATAGCCTCACAAACAAAATGGTGCACCTCACAAATGCAGTCTTAATGTTTACCCAAAATGCATCATCCATCTAGTATATCTTTAGATCAAATTAACTGGACAACTACAACATTTCATCCAAGCAATACAATTGATCCAGAGCTAATGGCTTGTATTGATAATTTATACCAAGAAAATGCAAACTTTCATGTTAATGAGAAAATAAGAATTTTGCCCTTATGGGGAGTGGGCTTCGCCCAAATGCCATCAAGTTTGTGGGCTTCGCTGAAATGCCCTTATGAAATGAGTCCAACACGTTATAATGCCATTTTGAGATTTAAGTCCACTTTTAATATTTTTCACCCAAAATTTTAGCCTGAACTGACCATTTTGCCCCTGAGCTCATTGATCCCTGCCCTGCGCTCTCATCTCTCCCCATCTCGTTCTCTCGCTCGCGTGAAAGGCAGAGCGCCACCGCCCCAGGCCGCCCCCACCCCCCACCCCCGCGCCGCGCCCCCGGGCCGAGCCTCGCCACCGCCATCCGCCCCCAAGACGGCTCCCTGCCCCAGGAGAAGGCGACCCAAACAAGCCGCCCGTCCGCGCCAAGCCGCCGCCGCCGCAACTCCAGGCCGGCGCCGTCGCCGCCCCGACGCGTCTACGCTAGCCCACCGGCCCCGCCATGAGCAGGTCCCCGCTCTCCCCGTCGCTGGATCTGCGGCCGCTGCTCCTGCCCGTCCGGGTGCTCTTCCCTAGGCGAAGGCGCACACGCCATGCTATGGGTGAGGGTTCGTCTAGTTCGCCGTTCATCCCAACAGCTGCCGTTTCTCTGTATCCACTTGGCCCTAGTGGGATCCCCCTGATTCCATGCCCAGAATGTGGTAATAAAGTAGTGGAATGCAAATCCTGGAAGAACAACGACATAATTTTCTTCAAATGCGTAAACTACAATGAATTTGTGAGTATATATTGCTCTGTTGTTTATTGTCATATACAACTGGATGAACTAGGTACTGTGTCAAGGTTTGGATAAATAAACTATGTTATGTATTGTCATTTCCACTGGCAATGAAGAAATGTCCATTCTTTAGGTGGTTGGAAGAGTACAAGAAAGTAGTCGCAAAGAAGCTTAAAGAATATTTGCTAGCTGCAGTGCCATTAGAAGGTCATGGTGAAACTAAATGTCAAGAAGAAATGAAGCTTAATAGCAGGATTTTTTATGAAGATCGATCTGGTCCAGCTGTTGGTGGTGCTCTGTTTAGTCATGACTGTCATAGTTCTTTTAGGTGTGGTAGTGCTTATTAGCAAGTGAAGCAAGATTGTGTTCTAGAACTGTGTTATATCAGTACTGGTGGTGGTCTGTTTAGTAACTGAAGTGTAGAAAAGTCATGGAATGAAGATGTTTTCATGGTTTTGTGCAGGTGCTTACAACGAGACTTTTGGACAGAATTTTGCTTGTGATTGATGAATTTTCTTTATTGTTGGATTGTAATTTTATATCCTCCCTTGCCCTTGAATCCGAGGCTGCCATGTGTAAATGGGGTTGGATGTACGGCCAGCTCTATTTCTATGAATTTTTTTGGAGCTGGTCGCCTGGCTCCAGAAATTTTTAGAGCTGGAGGTGGAGTTGGTCACGAAGCTACATATGTAGATCAATGGCCAGCCTTTT